CCCCATTTAATTCATCAGTTTGGCCCGCATAGCAGTTGGCTAGGTCTTGGTAAATGTAGCAGTTTCAAACCAGGGTTTCAAAATTCTTTGACGCTCTTCTCATTGAGAGGTGGGGTTGATGCCATCTCCCATTTAACCTGGGTAGGCTTGTGACTGCTTCAACCATACGGTACAACAGAAATGATGCTTGGCCCTTGGCTGGTGTGGCTCAGATGGCAGGAGCGTCATCCCACAGACTGAAAGGTCGTGGGTTTGATTCCCGGTCAGCACATACCCAGGTTTCCTGTTCAGTTGCTGGTCGGGGTTGGGGTGCATATGTGAAGGCAACGAATTGATATTTCTCTCTCACATAGATGTTTCTCTTTTTCTCTCCCCCCACCTCCGTCTCTAAAAGTAATGAAAAAATGTCTGTGGATAAAAAAAAGAGAGAGAGAAAGAAATGATGCTTTGAGAATTCCAAGGCCAAGCCACAAAGTTATGGAATTTCATGATTTTATGCCTTATCCACCCTAACATTTGCTTTTGGAGCCCTGAGCCACCAAATAGTCCGACTACTCCGAGGCTGCCATGCTCTAAGGAAGTCCAAGCCACATGGATAGGCCGTGTGCAGAAGGTGCTCCTGATCTAGTGAAACTTGGCCTTCCAGCTGAATTCTTAGCACAGTTGGAATCTGTCAGCACAATAAAATGGTTATTTAATGGCACTAAGTTTTGGGGTGGTTTTTGTTCCACTGACAGATTATGCTGAGGATTTCAGACAGGACACAGTGAGAATGTTTTCTCTCTGCTCCATAATGTCCGGAGACTCAGCTGAAATAACTTGATAGTTGAGGGTGACTGGATGGCTGGAGGCGATAATATTCTAGAAACTTCCTCACTCACATGCCTGTTGTCTGTGCTAGGATGCCTATTCTGGCTATTTCAAAAACGTGGAATCATACAATACACGAATGGGCAAAAGTAGGTGTTTGTAGGGGGAAATATAAAATACAAGCATAAATAATGATACAAAAATAAACTGTTTTGCATACTCACAACTGTAAATCTCCTTTTGCCTACCCCTGTATATGTCCCTGTGTGTTTGGCTTATTTGATTTAGCATGATGTTTTTGAGTTTCCTCCATGCTATAGCATGTACTAGTACTTCATTCCTTTTTATGGGTGAAAAATATTTCATTGCATGGATAGACCACATTTTGTTTCTCCATTCAGCTGTCGATGGACATTTGGGTTGTTTCTACCTTTTGGGTACTGTGAATCGTGCTGTACAAGTCTCTGACATCGTGTCTGAGTCTCTGTTTTCAAATCTTTTGGATACACTTAGGAGTGGAATTGCTGATCATATGGCAACTCTGCTTAACTTTCTGAGGAACTGCCAGACTCTTTTCCCCAGCAGCTGCACCACTGTGCATGATGGTGGAGTGCTGCTGCTCATTCTTGGTTTTTTAGCTTGTTTGGTCAAACAATGCCCAGTTCAGGATGTGCAGCTCAGGTCTTAAGATGACTTGTATCACACAGTCATTCATTTTCAACTGGGGACTAAAGCAAGTCAGGAACTTTTCCTCCCAGCAAATTGTGTGTGTGTTGTGTTTTAGCTTTCTTTTTTATCCCAAATTTCAGAGGCCTAAGCTGTTATTCTCTCATCAAGGTGTGGAAGAAGCTCTGTGTATCATCCTAATGGGGTATGTCACCTCCAGAAGGAGGCCCGCCAGACATTGTGCTTTTTTCTTAGTGGCTGGAGGGCTGAGGTACAGCAAGCCATTTCTCTCTTTAGAGGGACCATCTCAATAGGTCTCAGCCCACTGGATGCCCAGAAACTTCACAGAAGTGTTGGGCCCCTGAATTTTCCTGGGGTTTATCTCTCATCCTGTGGTGAAATATTTGCTATTTCCTATGCATCAGGCCCAGTCAGCAAGATGTCCTTATTGTAGTGGACCAGCATGATGTCTTGGGGGACAATGAAATAATTAAGCCAGTCCCTGGGGACTTAATTATGATAATGTACCAGAGAATTGAAGGGACAGTGCTGAGGGGCTTCCTTTTGAATTTTCTGTTTATAATCTTCTTCAGTCCTTGAGTCAGGAAGCCCCTGTGGGAATGTTTTCAGCTGCCAATTGTGTTTATTCTAATTAAGCAATCAGGGACTAGTGAAAGAGCCACAGGGGGGTCCACAGTGAATGGGGCAGGGACTAAGACTCCATTTCTGACCAGCTGAACGCAGTGGCATTCTGTGTCCCCAGGGGAAAGTAGGAGGAAGGTTTAAAACACAATATACATTGCAGTGTTAGATGTACCTGGCATCCCCTCTACTTGAGGGCTCTGAGCTTGTGAACTGACTGGCAGGATGCCATTCACCATACCTAGAGTTTTTGTTGTTGGTTGTTGGGATTATATAGATCATGGTCCACTACAGGTGGCTTATTAACAGGATGCCATGATCAGTTTGTCACCACCAAAGATCCATGAGGAGAAACCATTCTGGTTCCAGCTAGCAGTCTGCTGCCTATCATGATGCCACTACTTGGCCTCTGCTGCTCAGGACCCCATCATTCCCACTGAGAGTGCAAACCTGTTTCCATGACAACGCTTCCTGCCTCCTTTCCCACACTGGTTTTTCAGAACTTGGACCGAAGTATGTCTAAGTGTTTTGGTAAAAGGAATGTCTTTTGAGCCCTCTCAGGGTATGTAGTTAAGGGGTGTGCCTGTGGGGTGCACTTGACAACTCCATTCCAACATTCCCACCTCCTCGAGAGTTAGGATTGGAGACAATAAGGGATGGGGGGAGTAGGGCACGAGGAGAATAGGCATCCACTTGCTCAGCAACTGATCAGGTAATTTCATTACAAGATCTCCAAGAAAGGCAGGATAAGCTTCATCAGAAGGGGAGGAGGAGATGCTTTGGCTGATAAGGGAAGGTCCATGGGGTTTTGGGGGTTCAAAAGACAGATTCATTCAACAAATATTTACTGAATATTTTCTAGGAGCCAGGTATATAGCAGTGAACAAAATAGACAAAAATTTCCTGGCTTCATAAGGCTAATATTAAGTAAACAAGGTATATTTAAGAAAGAGGAGAATGTGCCTGGAGTAGTCTTGAACAGCCAAGAGGCAGTGTGGCTTTTAGTCTTAGTGAGATGGTATATTATTTTCCTAGGGCTACCGTAACAAGTAACCCCAAACTGGGGGGCTTTAAACAACAGAAATTTGTTCACTCACAGTTATAGAGGCTGGAAGACTGAAATCACTCCAATCTCTGCCTCTATCTTCACATGGTCTTCTCTTCTGTCTGTGTTTCTTTTCCTTTCTCTTTTAAGACATTTGTCACTGGATTTGAGGCCCACTTGGGCAATCCAGGATGATTTCACTTTCAGATACTTAATCACATCTACAAAGACCCTTTCTCCAAATAAAGTCACAGTCATAGAGTCCAGGAGTTAGTACATATCTTTTGGGGTGCCACTCTTCACCCCATTAGAGAAGGGAAGCCACTGAAGGGCTTTGAGTAGAGGAAGGACATGGCCTTACTTAAGAATTTAATGGCTCTTTCTAGCTGCTGTGTTAAGAAGACATTATTCGGGAAAAGTAGAAGGGGGAACTGCAGGAGGCCATTGAAAAACACCGAGGAGAGCCATAACGATGGCACGGACTGCAGTGATAGCAGTGAGGGTGGGGAAATACCATCAGATGCTGCATCTCCTTTAAAAGCAAAGCTGACAGGCTTTGCTGACAGATCAGATGAGTATTGAAGAAAGATGAAGCCCATAGGAGAACCATCAATGGAATACCTCAGACTTATTCAGCCAACCATGTATCAATGAAATATATAAAACAATGGGGGAAATAATGAACTACTCACGAATTGATACTAGGGACTTTGGTTATCTGTAAAAAGTCAATTTAGATCATTATTATTATTACCTTGTCATACACCAAAATAAATTCTTGATAGACTAAAAATTATGTGAGGAAAAACCAATGCTTTTTAAGCCACAGTAAAATAAAACTGAAAATTTTCTATTCTTTGGTTGGCAGAGGATGATTGGAAGAAAAGCAGTAACTGTTCTCTTTTGTCGGCAGCAAGTCGTTAGACAAGATAACGGCAAAAGATTCCATTTACAATTGCAATAAAGAAATAACTGGGGATCAATCAAGTCCACAGAGGCTAGATTAAGAACCCCTGTTTGAGAGATAGAAGAGCGAGAAGAGCACCAAAAACAGAAGGGAAAAGGCCTTGAACCAGAAACTGCTTCCTGGCTGTCCAATTCCACACACTAGCGACCTGCGGTTATGGCACTTGACAGGGACCCCGGTTCGTGGAGTTCAAATCAAGGTCTTCTAAGTGTAAAACACGTACCCAAAAGACTTGGCGCAAAAATTAATGTAAATTGTCCTATTTATAATATCGCGTATTGCTGCCATGTTGAGATAATACTTTGAATTGCTGGGTTAAGTAAAATTCGTTATTAAAAATAATTTTAACTTTATAGTTTTACTTTTTTTCTCTATATGGCTGCTAGAAAATTTAAAAGTCCACAAGTGTCTCACACTCCATTCCTATTGGCCAGCGACTCTAGCTGGATAGGAATTGCTAGCAGCAAAGGGCTTTCAATCTCTCTGTGCCTTAACGTCTTCATTTTTCAACTGGGACTGACCCAACACCAACCTTAACGGATCAGCGAGAAGCAGTAAGTTACAGTTAACAGAGTACTCTGCCAGGTGCCCAGGTGCTCAAACCCGAGTTACACCCAGCGAAGGTGAAAGAACAGCGGCTCAGACCACGCCCACAAGCTTTTCCCTGCGTGGGCGGACTGCGCATGCCCTCCCAGCGGAAGCTTCTGTGGGCGGGGTGAGAGCCAAAGAGCAGGCGCAGGCGCAGGCGCAGGCGCAGGCGCACACCACTGGGGAGAAACCAACCAATGAGATTGCTCAGTTGGCCCGCGCGCGCCTCAGGCTGAGCCCTTTCATCCTGGCTCCTCCCCGCGGCGCGGCACGCAGATGGACGCGCACAAGTGGGCGGGCTCTAGTGGCGCGGCCTGAGGGCGGCGGGAGTCTGTAATCGCTCTTTTGGTGGTGGCGCACGCGGCTCGCACGCTCTGCGGGGAAATATGGCGGATGTTGAAGGTAAGGGTCGTTTTTCCACGATTGGTTTGACCGAGTTTTCCCGACTGGCTCGGAGTTAAGGGAGCAGGGAACGGTGTCGGAGCCCGAGCTCTCCGTTAGGTCCAGCGACCGGACGGACTGGCTCACTTATTCGCTGCCAGGCCTCCTGCCAGCCTTACCTCTTGGCCTTGGCTCCACGAGTGAGGGCTCCACGAGTGAGGGCAAGAACGCGATGAACTGGTGCCACAAGGCCCGTGTCTCCCGCTGACGGCACAGCCTTTTTAGGGCGGCCATGCTACTGATTCTGTGGTGGCAGAAGACCTAGCTGTATCTGTGCTGCCGGAAACCTAGATGCCACAGTTAGCGCTAGGGAGTGAGGGGAGGACAGGATGGTTGGGGAAGAATTAAGAGGTTGAGGGGCTTGGGCGCTGACGTAGCTTCGACACGCAAGAAAGTTCTGGAGGTCACAAGCACGCGGGGACAGTCAAGGGGTCACTTACGGAACTTTCTGGCATGTGGACGGAGCGCTTCTACGGCGTGTGAAGCCCCGCCACCGCCACGTGGTGAACCTAAAGGACACGTGCGACTGCCTTTAGTTCGTTTCGGATTTATGCACCCCACGCATTTGGCGTTACACATCGTTTTCCCCAGTGATTTTAGACCAAACATCCTTTTCCCACCTACCCTCGTTTCCTTCTCTGTTTTAAACTTTGTTGCCTTTATTTTCGGGAAGAACACACAAATCTCGTGTTTGCTTTTCTAGTGTTTACTTTGCCAAAGAAGCATAAAAAGAAAAAAGAGCCCAAGTCATTACCAGAAGAAGATGTTGCAGTGAGTAGGAATATGTTTTCCTTTGTTTTTACTAAAAATGAAGGTCACTTACATAATAAAATTATAGAAAACTATTTTTAAAGGCTTTGAAGTACTTATTAAGCTAGAATTGGGCATTCATTGTACACAGCCCAGGCCAATCTTAGTATCTCCTATCACATGTAGTTTCCTAAGTGGTGTTTGGCCACACTAGCTGCTTTCCCCGAAATTTTCTTTTTTATTCCCCCTGCAGACCCACTATCCCTCTTTTTAAATATCTGTACCCTTCTTGGGGGCACTTCACTTACCCTTCTGACATCCTAGCTCATTTCTTCTCCCAGTGAAGAGGCATAGACTAGCCTGTTTTCTATTGAAAGGGCACAGGCTTTTGTGATAGTAATGGAATTGTTCGAAATCAGGTGGGAAGTCTAATAGGGTGTGTTTTCTGTCCTGTGGAAGGAAATTCAACATGCTGGAGAATTTCTTATCAAACCTGAATCCAAAGTGGCTCAGTTGGACACATCTCAGTGGCCCTTGTTGCTAAAGGTATGTGGTTAAGATTGTGCATCAGGTCAGTGTCTGGCTTTTATTTCTAAGCGTTAGGCCGTTGATTAAGAATGCTTAATGTAAGCAGAGTCTAAAGCAGTGTTCCTCAAGGTGTCTGAGGTGAAGGACCGGGTTTTGTCCCCCCGCCGCACCTATTTCCAATGTATCCAACACTGTTGTAGAATACAGTTAAAATGTGGGAATGACATCAAACTGCTATCAAAGTTTATAAACAGTTCTTGATTTCTATACTTCACTCTACAGACTTGAAGCAGTTTGTGAGGCACACTTGGAGTAGCACTGACTGCTTTAGTTCTTAAGAAGCAAGGGCTTTAAAGCCAGACCAGTTTGGGTCAGGCAGTGTGTGACCTTGGGCCAGTCCTTTAACCTCTCTGAGTCTGTTTGCTCCTAATATTTTAGGAAGGCAAGCAGAGGGCTGCAGGAGATAATTCATGTACTGTGTTTAGCCATGGTGCCTGGCATGTAGCATATCCTCTAGGAATTATTGACTATTATGTTGGGTTTTAAATAGGATAGTTTAATAATGAGATGAATTGCAAGTTACTTAATGGGCACCAGCTCAGATAAGGAGAAAAAGTTACTGAGAACACTCCTTGACAAAGTGTTTTAATAAAACCAAAATATATGTGTGTATACATATATATCATATATATGATATATATGATATATATACACACACACGAGGGGAAGAATGAGATTTGCTCATATAATTTAACACAGTTGAGTTTTTGCGTGGCCAGATGTGTCTGCCATTTGATAGCATCTGCTTTTTTATAGTAGGCCCTGGGAATATGCTAGGGAGCCTGGTAGGCAGTGTCCCTGCTGTCATGAACTTAAAATCTAGGGATGGGAGATAGTTAAAATCATTGCTATTTGTGATACACCATAACAAAACTAAACTGGGTGAGGTGAAAGATGGGTTTTAATTGAGGGGAGCTCTTTCAGACCAGTGATTGAGCCTTAGTAGGAGAGTAAAAAGGAGCAGAGATAGGAGCATCTGGAGCAAGAACAAGCTGGTCATGTTCGAGAAACATTGCCGCCAGTCCTTGATTTGGCTGTCTCTTGTCCCTGACGAAATCAGAGCTAGTCCATGCTTTAGTCATAAACCTGCATGGTGAAACCTAGTCTGTTCTGTAGTACCCCAAGAAATCTTTCTAGAGGAGTGACCAAATTTGTCTTAGTACTTACGAGTAATTTCTCTAGTATGGAGGCTTGACAGTCTGTCACAACAGATAATGACAATATAGGAGCACAATCCAGGTCTGTGAATTTGAACGGTAACCATATCACAGTGGTGGTGCTGATTTCTTGTCTTAGATATATTAATGGTTTCTTAACTTTATTTTGTGTTGTGCCATTTCTAGAATTTTGATAAGCTAAATATAAGGACAACACATTATACACCTCTTCCTTGTGGTTCAAATCCTCTGAAGAGAGAGATTGGGGATTATATCAGGTAAGTGTGTTGGGAGCAAGCACTGTTCAAACTTCTGTTTTTTTCAAAATGACCCTTTTTGCATCAGTTACTCAAAGAGGTAGTGGCATTGTCCTAAATGTCATATAAGTTATACCCATGGTTAACTCTTCTTTTTTTACTCTTCAGACTTAGTTTTTATTAGGGGACCAGAACTGATGCCCAGTAATTTCTTTTCCATTCTAGGACAGGTTTTATTAATCTTGACAAGCCCTCCAACCCCTCTTCCCATGAGGTGGTGGCCTGGATCCGACGAATACTTCGTGTGGAAAAGACAGGACACAGTGGTACTCTGGATCCCAAGGTGACTGGCTGTTTAATCGTGTGCATAGAACGAGCCACTCGCTTGGTAAAATCACAACAGAGTGCAGGTATGTTGGAGAGGGAAGGAAGTGGTGGCTAATTTGAGATTGGGGGGCTTTCTGTATTTCCTTTCCCTTCTACATTTTAGCTCTTGAAAATACTTTCTTCATTAGTAGAAAAAATCCTAAGCAGAGATATTCTTGTATTTTACGTGCCTTCTGTGCTCTTTGTCTGCCTTTTCTTGGAGTGCTGGGTTACTAGGCATGTGCACATTGAGCCAACTACGTCCGTTTTAGCCCTGAGGCAGACCTGTGTTCAAGTGCAGCTCTTCAGCTTGTCACCCAGGCTCCTCTGACTTCATGCTGCTGCTTCTGCCTAAATTGCCCTTCCTGCATTTTCATCTAGGAAAATTCTTCTTGACCTTGAAGATTTTTTTTTGCAAGCAGGTTCTACATTGAGTACTCCAGCTGTCCTTGTCAGCACATTGAAATTTGAAGTCCCTGTGAGATAAAGTGTTGTCATTCCTTTCCCACATCTGCACCGTGAAATCTGTCTTAGTGCAAATTTTACAGGAACAGAAGGTCAAATTGCCTGCATTTTCTGCTGCACAAAATGGAAGTGATATGAGTCTATAAAAAAATAACAGCTCTGGCTGGCGCGGCTCAGTGGATTGCGTGCCAGCCTGCAAACTAAAGGGTCACTGGTTCGATTCCCAGTCAGGGCACATACCTGGATTGTGGGCCAGGTCCCCAGTAGGGGGCACGCAAGGGGCAACCACACATTGATGTTTCTCTCCCTGAAAATAAACAAGTAAAATCTTTAAAAAAAAATACAGAAAACTCAGTAGCCACACCTGACTACTCTTTTGTCATTTTTCAGGCAAAGAGTATGTGGGAATTGTCCGGCTGCACAATGCTATTGAAGGGGGGACTCAACTTGCTAGGGTAAGTCTAATTATAGGGAGGGCATCTTTTGGTGGCTTGGAGCTCTGAGTCCCTAGGCATCTGGAAACAGCCAGCTTTCCTGCTGACCTTCTCAGTGGGCTGTCCTAGCCAGCCTGAACAGGTGACTACAGATGGCAAGGGCACTTTCAGTCATGTCCCGTCTGAGGAGAGTTCTGATCAAGCACTGAGCCATCCCTGTATGGTTGAAGAAAGAAGCAAAAGTTGAAAGGGCATTTTGGATCTTTTAGATCTTAAATGATTGAAAGAAATCTTGTATGTTTCGATTGTGTCCTTAAACTCCCAAAATAGGCCCTTTGATCTTATTTGAGAGTCTATGCAGTGAGAGTCTTTATTTTGGTTTGTGCTTGTTCTCAGGCCCTAGAAACTCTGACGGGTGCCTTATTCCAGCGACCCCCACTTATTGCTGCAGTAAAGAGGCAACTCCGAGTACGGACCATCTATGAGAGCAAAATGATTGAGTATGATCCTGAAAGAAGATTAGGTGAGTCACAGGTCTGTGAGGGACTGAATTAACAGACCATATGTGGGGAGGAATGGATTCTGGGAAATTGTATTCCGTTAAAAGTAGATGCCTTTAGTGTGTGGTGCAGTCATGGCCCATATATTGTCTCTAGTCATTCTGGCTCTGGGTTTCTCAACTGGTGATATGTTTACTTTGGAAAATATGTGCTACTCTTGTGTGTGTGTGTGTGTGTCTTAGGAATCTTTTGGGTGAGTTGTGAGGCCGGCACCTATATTCGGACGCTGTGTGTACACCTTGGTTTGTTACTGGGAGTTGGCGGTCAGATGCAGGAACTTCGGAGGGTTCGTTCTGGAGTCATGAGCGAGAAGGTACACACCATTGTGGGGCTAGCAGTTTTGGAGCTGGTACTTAATACAGGGTGGGACAAAAGTAGGTCTACAGTTGTGAGTACAAGAAACACAGTTCTTCTAGTATTCCTTATTGCATTATTTTTCATACAAACAACTATAAACCTAGTTTTGCCCTATCCTGTATATTCTAGCTCCTGGTGGATCTCCCCCTGCTTCACATCCAGGAAAAGGCAGTTTCCAAAGTGTTGAGTTCAGTTCAGGGCAGCTCCCCTGTTCTGTTAATTAAACTTTGGGACATTGAAACACAGGCTAGGGGAGATGGTTGGGTAGAAAGCATTAATCTATTCCTTTACCTCACAGCCTACAAAAATGTTTGCTCAGATTTAAATACATCAGGTTAAAGATGTCCGAAAGGGAAGTGATTTTCAAGAAACGGAAGATTAATGTGCTTGGATTAGCAGACAAGACTAAATTCATTGAGTTTTTGGAAGTCTGGCATCCACTGGGCTATTTGAGATACAATGACAATGAATAGTTTTTATATATGGCTGCTTTTCAGGACCACATGGTGACAATGCACGATGTGCTTGATGCCCAGTGGCTGTATGATAACCACAAGGATGAGAGTTACCTGCGGCGAGTTGTTTACCCTTTGGAAAAGCTCTTGACATCTCATAAACGGCTGGTTATGAAAGACAGTGCAGTAAGTTCTGGGTGTCAAATCCATATTTGGTGAAAGTGTGTCTTCAAAGATGGGATATCCATGTTCTGAAAACTTTTCTATTGAAAGGTGAAATGTGGTGTGAATTTACTTTCCTTGGGGGTTTCTGAGTTGTTACTTGTCTTTTGTTTTGCCTTTTTTCTTTCCTGGTTCTGTAGATGGGACCCCGGGTTCTTTTTCCTTTTTTGTTAATAAAGCCTTTTTGATGGATTAAATCAAAACCAAATGTACTGAATTGGCCCTTACTGGTGTCGCGCCGTGGGTTGGGCAACGTCCCGTGAACCGAAAGGTTGCTGGTTTTATTCTTGGTCAGGGCACATGCCTGGGTTGCGGGCCAGGTCCCCAGTTGGGGGCATGCGAGAGGCAATCAATCCATGTTTCCCTCCCCCCATCTTTTCTCTAAAAATAAATAAAATCTTAAAAAAAGAAAACCAAATGTACTGAATTAAAAGTGTAATGCTAGGCCTAATTCTGTTTTTAAATAAGACTGATTAATTAAACATTTACCTAAGAGTTCTCCCAAAATAAGTTTGTTCAAGAAATAGACTGTGAGTAGTACGTGGAATTTGCCCTCCCATAACCTGGTAGTTCTCCATGTGCCTAATAAACTGATTTTATTTAAATTACTGCTAAGAAAAAGTTGTTTTGATGGGGATAAAAAGTTAAGACTGGAGAATTTCAAAGATATAAGGTATTTCTCTTTTGGGAATTCCATAAAATTTTGTTATGTTTTAAATAAGTCCTTGTTTGAGTCTATAAAACCTAAACAACATAGCCTTTCAAGTCTTTTTCTTAGCATATTTACTAAATAATATTGAGAGTACTCTTAATTGAGTAAATATGCAATTAATTATGTCAGCTTAGGTTTTCTTTTTAGTAGTGATTTAAGGATGAGTTTCTTTTGAAGTAGTCCAGAATTTTATAAGCAGCCTTTTTATTCCTAATGGTGGTATGGTCAGAGGATGGTCTTTTATAAATTAAGATTGTCTTTGTGACCAACTGCATAATCAAGTTTTCAATATTAAGTAGCAATTAAATTCTCTAACTTTGAAGGATATAAATTCTCTATATTTAATAATTTGAGGTTTATCATTCATATTCACATCTTGTTATATAGATTTTTAAAAAGATTTTGTTTATTTTAGAGAGAGGGGAAGGGACAGAGAAAGAGAGGGAAACATCGATGTGCAAGAGATACATCAGTCTGTTGCCTCTTGCACACCGCCAGCCGGGCACCTGGCCCGCAACCCAGGCACGTGCCCTCACTAGGAATTGAACCAGCAACCTTTTGGTTAGCTGGCCGCACTCAATCCACTGAGTCATATCAGCCAGAGCCTTGTTATATAGATGTTTAATGTATCTTTTATGTTGTAGTTCATAATAAACAAAAATTAATGAGATATACTAAAACAGGTCACTATAACGATTGAAAACATTTAATCACATAAAACAGAACAACATAAATGTGATACACCGTTCTGGGGTCAGACTGGTAGCTCCTGGGAAAAATTAAGGGGAAGGTGGAGTGTGGTCAGCAAAAGAGATCTAGGGTGAGTAAAGACGAGACGGGACAAGGCACATGGTTGTATTGAGTGCCATTGAACTTAGGGAGAGGTGGCCTTGTACCTGTTGGCCTATAAGTTATGCCAAAACCTGTGTGTAATTAGCCTTGGTAATCTTCCTTGTGAGTTACTTTGGGATCATGTTACTACCCAAATCTCTTAATAGAGCGAATAGATCTAGTTTTGTCATGGTGTTTTTTTTTTCCCCCCTTAATGATAAGGAATAGCAAAGAGCAATTAAGGGAAACTAAGGCTAGGTTTTGATTTAAAATGAAAACATCCTTAAGTTCCACAGGCATAGAAGTAGCTGTTTTAAGTCCTGTTTAACGTTTCTGAGTCAGTGTGCGTAAAGTGCCTAATGTTTGATGAGTGGTTGCTATAATTTGGAGTTCTGTATATGCTGATAGCAACTAGTGGCTATTCATGGTGTTAGCCTCATGTCAAGGTGGGGAGATGCTCACAGCCCCCTTCCCGTGTGTCTGAATTTGCTCTCGTGTGGGGTAGAGGTCAGTGGCTGGGGCTCTCACGGGTGATATCATCCTTGTAGGTGAATGCAATCTGCTATGGGGCGAAGATCATGCTTCCAGGTGTTCTCCGATATGAGGACGGTATTGAAGTCAATCAGGAGATTGTGGTCATCACCACCAAAGGGGAAGCAATCTGCATAGGTAAGAGGGGAAGTTGTTCTCAGTCCTTCCGCACCGTCGTAGCCAGGCTCACAAAGAGCAGATCCCTAAGTCCTGGTCTTGGTTTGATCTCAGTAAGGGTGGTCACAGCAAAGGGCCATGTCAGACAGGCACAGGTGAGAGAGGAGGTAATTGGGTTTTACCTCTGTCCCTGTGGCTGCTGTTAGAGACAGTGTCTCAGCAGCTGGTTCTCCAGTGAGAAGAGAGATCATTAAGAACAGGAATAAGTGTCTATGCTTATCAGTGAAGAGCTTTTAGTCCACTTCTCGACTGCACATCCATATGTACGTTCTCAGTGAAGGATACTCAAGGCAGTAGAGCTTAGAGTTTTAAGGAGTTGTATAAAACAGTGGCATTCAGGTTTACCAGTTATCAAGTCTTTCCCCTTTAAATCATTCTTTTATCTCTTTGTGACACCTGCAGCTATTGCATTAATGACCACAGCAGTGATCTCTACCTGTGACCATGGGATAGTGGCCAAGATCAAGAGAGTGATCATGGAAAGAGACACTTACCCTCGGAAGTGGGGATTAGGTCCAAAAGTAAGTGGGACTGGGCATGTGCCCTGCCAGGTTATTTTGTTTAGTGTGGTTGAATACTTGGGCAGTTCTTGGTGTAACCACTGTGCCATAGCCTTGCCTTAATGCTGGGCCCTGGGGGAGTTGATGGTGAGTGGAAATTGGCCTGTCTCATACCTTAGAGATTTCTGTCTAATGGGAGGCAGCAGATGGGCATCACTCAAACTGCACAGTGAAATGGTGAATTTTAGCCAAGTTGAGGGCTTACCAAGGAGTGCAGAGGTATGTGGCACCTCTGCAGTCTGCAGTGGAAGGGCTTGATCTGTCTGGAGCCATGCCAGTGTGAAGGATGTAACATTAGGTGTCAGTGGGGTGAAGAGGGGAGGGAGGGTGTAGGTGCAATAGTATATACCAAGGTCCTGTGCCACAAAAAGACACTGCAGAGGCTATCGCTAAGACTAGTTTCGTGACTTTTATAACAAGTCCCATGTTTGTTCCTATTGGAGGGAGAGGGCGAATTTTGAGTGCTCTGTAGAGGGGTGTAAGGAGTGGGAATACATAAGGAAGAACCTGCTATGTGTGTGGACACCGTTCTGATATTGAAATCCTAACACCTACCAGGCAAGTCAGAAGAAGCTGATGATCAAGCAGGGCCTTCTGGACAAGCATGGCAAGCCCACAGACAGTACGCCCGTCACCTGGATTCAGGAGTATGTTGACTACAGGTGAGGGCAGGACGTTTAATCTAGACACCCAGAACAGGCAGAGACTACACACTTGCCTGGATGCACTAGTACCTCAGCTACAGGTGAGGGTGTCAGTGGCAGTGAGTACAGGAGGGTATTGAACTTGGAGGGGTAGACAGTATACTGGCCACCTGGCTGAATACATCAACTACAAATGAGGATAGGAGGTCACGGGGCCCAGGTGAGGGGCAGGTTTAATTGGGAGGGGTGGATTTGCTAGATGTGGGAGCCAAGGAACCCATGCGTCCTTTCGCAAGGCCTTGGGGCCTGTAGGGTAGCAGCAGGTTGCTTCACCTTGAGTGCCTGGGTCAGTCGCTTGGTCCTCTGCAGCAGACAGTTATCCCTTTCTAGTCTGGCTTGTGGGACTTTAGAGGGAGTCAGTCTGCAACAGTAAGTGGTAAGTTCTTCTGTCCAGCGTCAGCATTTTGATGGTGGCTTTAGACTTGCCAGATACCATTGATGGACTGGAGGTACATTAGTTCCTCCATGGAAAGCTGTTCAGTGAATCTAACGTTGCTACCTCTCCTTTCAGTGATGTTGTGAAGACCGAGGTGGTTGCCGAACCAGTAAAAACCCCAAAGGTGGTAAGTAGCATGCCGTGATTAGTTTGTAATGGACTTTGGGAGGTGGTTCTGTTTGGCTTGTTCTGGCGACTGTGTAGTCCAGCCATATATCCTGGCTCAGTACGGCAGGGCCTCCCACCCCCGCGGGTGCATGGTGCAGAGAGATGACGTGTCGTGCCTCAGGGTGTTTGAGATCTGTAGGTGCCAATTCACTTTCCTGATGTGTCTAATGGGAGAAATGTGGGCTCTGGAATTGCATTGGCCTCGTCTTCCACCTCAGCCTAGGCAACACCACTGAAACGGGTTACATTTTATTCTGGCTCCCCCCCGGGTCAAGTGATGGCAGAGGTGTGTTGAAATTGGAGGCTGTGACGCTTGGAGCTGTACGGGACTGAGCAGGAACAGCAGTACCACCCAAGGCTGCCCACTGTCTCTGGACAGCACCAGTTTAGTGTCTCAAAAGTTTAAGGGAAGCATGTGGTGCCAACTTGGTTTCCCAGGGTTGGGGGCTACTGACAGCACGGAATACATGTGGCACTGAGTGACCTGAAGCAGGCTGTCTGGAAGAGCTTTTCCTGCCTTGCCTGCTACCTTTGAGGATTGGTGGGAGCACCCCTAAGGGACATGTAGTTCAACTTTTTATATTAGTGAGATTGGCCTCCAGAAAAACAGCTTGCTTGGCGCCATTCATTCCCTGAGCTCCATTCTATTGTGGTTTTGGGCTCCTGCCATGCCTTTGGCTTCCTGCTCCTTTTGGATGAAACTGTCTTTGAATCCTTGGTAAATTTAAGGACCCACTGGGATTCATAATTAGGAAACTTCCTATTGTACACAGTAAGGATCTTTTCTGGTAGCTCCACACCTTTTGACTTAACCTTTGTATCTGTTTTTGCCTAAGAAGTAATATTTGATCAAATGTCTCCATCTTAGCAGAAGCGGAAGCGAGAGAGTGAAAGTGACGAGACTTCACCAGCATCTCCACAGCTCATCAAGAAGGAAAAGGAAAAGAAGAAGAAGAAGGATAAGAAGGCCAAAGCTGCTCTGGAGAGTGCAGGAGAGCCAGGAGATGGGGTGTGTATAAAGATGTTCAGGATGCCTCAGCCCACTTAGTCCTTGTCGGGGCAGGGAAGCATTGTCCATTTGGTGCTGGCTTGGTCACTTGGGGAGCAGCTCCATATTACTGGAGTGCCTTTGCTCCCCACTACCCCAGCGAGATGTACAGAGACAGGCCCTGGCATTTTGTAGTAACTACTCAGAGTTACAATTCTGTTGATGGTGGGTGGGGAGGCTGCAGCTTGGAAATCTGCTCCTGTTTGTAAAAGTGAACCACTGGGGCACCACTGAAAAGCTTAGGACTTTTGTGTTATGTGCAAAAATTATTTAATCCAGTATTTTCTTAGAGATCCTGAAAAGGCTTACTTCGCTGTGTGGAATGTCCCTGAATTCCTTTTGGGAGCGTGGCAATGGGTTCTAACAGATTCTGTGACCTTTTTTCCCCAGGACAGTGATACCACCAAAAAGAAGAAGAAGAAGAAGAAAATAAAAGCAGAAGTAGTTTCTGAGTAGTGGAGATCACTTTAAGCACTGTGTTCACCTGGGAGGAGAAATTAAAGCCTTATAAAGAAAACGTAGTTCCTTTTGTTCTTGAGGGAATGGAACATAGGTCCCAGAAAGGGTGGAGAGCTGAGGCACGTTTTAGCTGCTGTCTGAGACCTTGGTGATACTACCTGGTGTGGTCATCCCATCTTGTCCTGTTTTAAGGATATGGGTTCAGGAGGCAGATCTGACACCACCCACTTCTCTGCTTGGGAGTGGGGAAGCCTCATCTTCAGACCAGCACTGCCCAGTAACCAACCATGTGTACTGTTTTCTAATGGCCATTTTAACATCATTGTCATTTACTCATTTGCTTCTGCCACTCCCCCACACCCCTCTGTTTAAAAAGTTTGTAAAAATTGCACAGTGAAATGGCCTAGAGCAAGTAAAAGAATGTAACACCCATGTTTACTGGACGGGGGGATGGTAAATCTCCGATGTGCTATGAGGACAGTGGTCTATTCTGGTGTCAGCCACTTTTCTAACCGCATGGATCTCCCACATAAAGGCCTGATAAGTACTCGATCTTTCATCTGAAAGGCTATTTCCGATCCCTCTGGCCTAATAGTTCGTGTACTTATGCTTGTGTGTACAGACAGCCTCATGTACCGAAGTCCATCTATCTACTTGTGTATGTGACAGAATTCAAAATGTATTCTCTGTTTTTACCCTCTTTCAAAGGATGCAATTATTTGTTGCTGGAAGAAGGTTGTAATTTTTACTTATTAAAGTTGACTTACTACGTTGTTTAAGTATTCCTGTTGGGGTTTTTTTTCCCCCCTAATTGTTGGTGATCTCAAACTAGTAGAACAACAACAACAACAACAAAAAAATTAAAAATCTAGGGACCTTTGCTGTATTTGAAATGTGATGCTTTCCCTTTGGTTCTTTCTGGTTCTGTATCTTAAAACATGCACCTTGGGGATTGTCATCTGGCATGGGATCAAATACTCTGGAATCTCCATTGAAGATGTTAACTAGGTAACAAGGGGAATCGGCACAAATTCAGTACTCCAAAATGGAGAAAGATAACTAATGGGTCTGGCAGGTGTCTCTTGTCGGGGTGCTATGCCTAGGGAAAGCCCAAGGGAAGTATGAAAGAGCCACATCTTGACAGGCCAACTATGTGTAGGTATATTGGGCTCAAGCTCCATGATGGAAGCCCACTGAAGCTTTGTGCTTCAGTAAGCCCAGTTAAGTGGCAAAAAACCTCGGGGGTGGGGGAGAACAGTTGGTGGGTGGATGCTAAGGAATCAATGCCTTGGTGAGGTCTAGGATTGTTTCCAATCTGGCACCAAAACCCCAAAAAAGGAGGACCAGTTCTGGGGCGGGGGAAGTCTCCTGGCACAGGGAGGAGAGGCCTTTGCTGATACATGCATCCCAGTGCTCAGGATCCACTGTTAAGACCAGAAGCTGGGATCAGTCTCCCCAACCCCCTACTCTAACGTGAGACCAGCATGTAAGCCTCCAAGTACCAGCAGGAAGCTACAATAAATGCCTGCTCTGTGCTGGTTTCCCAGATAAGAATCCTAAGTGGACAACAGGCTCAGGAAGGACTGGGGGTTGGGTTTTTTTTTTTTGTAATCTTAGCAGTGGCTCATTTTCTTGATAATCTTGGCTGCAAGTCATGCGGGTGCTCTAAAAGGCATGTCTTGTGGATAAGGATAATGCTACAATGAGTGACGGAAAATGGCAAGATTTGGTAGGCATGTCATAACCAAAGCCAGTGCAAGTAGAAGCAAAGATGTTTGCTTCCCCATGGAGCAAAAACTGGACAATCTTACACCTTTACTCTCAATGTTTTTTTACATGCTGCACATGTACATACTTGTCATAATGCACAAATTGTGCCCTGCCCAGCACATGGACACCCAGACACACATGAAATTGGGTTATTCTGGTCACCAGATCTTAAAAGATTGTTGAAGGCTTGAGGGAAGCATCTGACGTTGGATGCCCTCTTCAATGAACTTAAATAAAGCTGGTGACATTTCCCTTTCCGAGGCTTGTGTGGGCAGAAACCCAGGGAGTTGTAAGGTCATTGGCATTTTAACACTAATATTTTTATTGCTTTTGAGGGTTTTCCTAGAGCAGACATCATCCTATTGCACAGCTGTTTCATTTTGGCATTTTAGAAAGTTGCAGTAAAAAAGTTCTTCAAAGTAAAGACAAATGAAATGCCCAGTGTGATTAAAGGTGAAGGAGCGCAGGCTTTAGTGGGACAGGGTCCATTGCTTTTCCTCCCTGTACGCACCATCTTTCATTAGCATTTGCATTTGGATAGTGCTTCTGGACCCCAATTTCCAGAGATCCTTTTGAAATCTTGATCAATGGGGCCCCATGCAGAGCCCAGCCCTTCAGGACCTTGAGCAAGACTGACACCCACTGGCCTAATTAGGATAATTGCATAGAGCTGGAAGCTGACACAAATTAGCTGGAGGGACCCTGTTTTAAAGCAAGGGGAATAGAGTTCCAAATACTGGAGAGGGCATACAGTATCCCCCCCCCCCATTCTGCAAGCTTAGTAAACCCAGGAGACAGGCACCCACTGTGGAGAACTGCATGCCTGGTCAAAGGCTTCTTGCAATTTCTTAAGGGTTTCATCAACGCCATTATTGACCAGTGAGAGGTCAAAGTAGTGAGCATACTGGCTGCGGATGGCCTCCGAGTCCTTCTGTAGCTGCTGCAGGGCTTCTGTCTGCAAAGAAGAGAGAGAGCTACTGATGAAACAGGTTGCAGCATGCTCAGCCTGAGCAGCTAAGGACAGTGGTTGTTGATTGTTAGGACCATTGCCTGGCTCCCAGTCACCTCCTTAGAGACAAGGCCTGAAGACCTTGCTTTAGAATGTTAACAGAGAAGGGCACACAGAGGCAATCAATTGAGAACAATTCTCACAGGATCTCTAACCCTCAAACTAATCAGAGCTCTCTGAAAGACCAATAGCCATCTCCCAGTTCTTGCCTTTGAGCATGGAGAGCCATTTCAGCAACCACCAGAGCTGCAATCCCAGGACAAGGTTAAGTGTGACTTAAAACCCCAAGTCTCTTTCTAGAACCCAGAACCAAGTGGCCATGAAAAGATCAAAAGATCAAAAGATCAATAATTTAACTCCATAAGAGTGGAAATGTTTCTGTAGCAATAAACACATGCCAAATTGTGGAGAAAAAAAATTGTGACTGATACCACAAAGGGATAATTACCCTAATGTAGAGTTCCTAGAAATAAGTAAGAAAAAGGCCAAAAACTAGCAGAACAATAAGCTAAGGACATGACCAGGTGTTAACATAAAAGGCAATACAAATGGCCTTTAAAAGCCCTGGCTGGTGTGGCTCAGTGGACTGAGTGCTGACCTGCAAACCAAAAGGTTATCAGTTCAGTTCAGTTCCTGGTCAGGGCACATGCCTGGGTTGTGGGCCAGGCCCTGCAGTTGCGGGTGTTGTGAGTTGTTTCCCTTCCTCTCTTTCTCCCTCCCTTCCCCTCTCTAAAAATAAATAAATAAAATGTTTTTTTTTTAAAGACTCTGACAAAATACTCAACTGCCTACAGTACAAGATAAAAGTAAAGCCCTGGCTGGTGTGGCTCAGTGGATTGAGTGCTGGCCTGCAGACCGAAAGGTTACCAGTTCAGTTCCTGGTCAGGGCATGTGCCTGGGTTGTGGTCAGGTCCTCCCGCAGGCTACCCGTATGAGAGGCAACCAATCGATGTTTCTCTTGCACATCGATGGTTCTCTCCCTTTCCCTCTCTCTAAAAATAAATTAAAATGTTTTTTAAAAAAGATAAAAGTGCAATTAGATTCATTTTCCCCTCTATTAGGCTGGCCAAAAATTAAAGTTTGGAATACATGATCCTGGCACAGGGAAGGAAACAAGCACTCTCCCAGGTAATATTCTCTGAATTCCCAATTCCCAAAGCATGCATACTTGGACCCAGCAATCCTCTCTGGAATTCTTTCTACAGATATATTTGCACACATGTGAAACGCCATATGTACAGGGCCATTGGTTGCCATATTATTTATAATAGTCCAAGTTTTAAAACAACCCAAATAGCTGTAAGGGAATAGCGATACACAATAACTATGCCGCATACACGCAACTGGAGACCATGCAGGTACTAAGACTGAGGAAGCTCTCTACACACTGATTCAGAAAGATCATTGTGTTCAGTGAGAAAGCAGGGTGCAGCCAAGTGTGTGCACAGTGGGTGTGGAGCAGGTAGGGAGTGGGAAGCAGGGGAGATCTTTCACTATATTCCTCACCTTTTTCCTTTCACATGCTCCACACATCTACCCCACACCACAGAGTGGGTTCAGCCTCCTTCACAGTACTTCGTGCTCACCCTACTTCAGCCCACACCACACCAGAGTGTCAAGATTTACCCAACTGTCCCTCTCTGCTACTGGACCCTGGACACTTCTGGAACAATGACTGTGTTCCCGTTACCCAGCATGGTCAATGGCCTACCTAGCTAGTGGTTTAATAAGTGTCTACTGAGTGAATCAAATGTGCATATGTCCTTTGGCTTCTTGGCCTGGCAGGAAGGACAATAGTAATCAGTAAACTCATAGGGGATTTGGTCACAAGCTGAAGCTGAGCTCCAGCCAGTACTCTGGGCAATGATCTGGGCTGATGTCCCAGTGTGGACAGGTTTCGAGAGTGAACCCCCACCCACCCTGCACAATCCCCTCCTTCCCACCTGAGTGCCCTGGTCAGTAGGTGCGATAAACACAATGAAAGGTGAAAGCTCTGCTGTCCGAACAACCTTTAGAGTCTAGAAAAGAGGAAGGGAAAGGAAGAAAAAGATTAAAAAAAAGTTAGCTGTCATGATGCATTCCTGCTAGTAAGCATCTCTGGACTTCACCGACACCAACACTATTTCCATCATTTCCAGTACTACTGTTCTTCTTCCATAGGACCCCACTGGAAGTACATGAAGCAAATCTGAGCTCCCCAAAGGTTCCCATGAGCTTTGCTCTTCAGCACCCCCTCCTCATCCACTCCTGCCTTTCCATGCCTACCTACCTGGGGCTCAATGTCCAGGATGGCAATCTTGTCCTGCTTATGAATCTGGTGCACTGTTTCAAATTTGGTGCCAAACATGTTGCCCTGGTAGCTGCCAAACTCCAAGAACTCATTGGCAGAGATGCTCCTTGTCATCTCTTCCGTGGAGATGAAGTGGTACTCCTTCCCATCTTCTTCATTCTTCTTGGGCAGCCGCGTTGTATCTGTACACAAGAACCCAACCCCCTGACAAACTCAGGGCCCTCGCCAGGGACCATGGAGTCTGCTGAAACCCTAGCTGCCTTTGGTGCAGAGAGCTTAATAGAGGGCTTTCTCCCACAGAATGCTTAAGGGCTGACAATAGGAGATAATACATATCAGGAAATCTCCCTTCCACCCAGAACAAATTTAACCTTCAAGAGGCAAAGCCCAACGTAAAATATTCCTATGATCACTTCCCCTAACATTAAGTCACAGCTCTCAAACCACCAACCCCAGGAATGTTGAAGTTTGAAAATGGAGAAATGACAGCTGGAGATATTTAAAAAACAGAGCTATAGGCTATGGTCACGATTTCTTGGAAGTATATTTAAAGTTTTTATAACTTGGAAAGCAGAGTACTTTGGTTTTATTTAAATTCATACTGTTAAGTGTTAGAATGTTCTTAAGTCACAACATCTACAATTACTCATATAAATTGTCCTCTAAATAAATATGC